TGCTCGTGTCTTATGGTCTCCTGTCAAGCTCCTACGTTTTTACTAGTTGTCTCTTTGTCTCTCAGTCCGTTCAGTTGTGCTTAGGTTATGCTTTTGTAGGTGGCGAGAGTTGGGGTAGGGTGGTTTTCGCATGCCTCCTCTCCTTTCCTTTTGTGGCGAGCCTTTTTCCCTTCCAGCCGCGTCTTTTCCTCTCCAGAGGCGTATGTCTTCTTTTGATTTTGCTACTTTTTTTTTCTCAAAACAACGTCGTTTTGGAGAGTAAAGAGTTGGGATTGAATGGATCTAGGCTTAGACTTCATGGGTTTAGGCTTTTGGCTTCTTTTTCTTTTCTTCTTTTCTCTTTAGCTTTTTTTTCCTCTTTTCTTCAACAATATAATATGTTATACGTTAGATTTTTGTTTAAATTTTCTACTATTTTTACTTAAATTTGGAAGAACTTTTAAATTAATTTGAGTTAAAAGTCATTTAATAGACAAAATTCTTGATGCATGTTGCATTTGTGAAAATCTAAACAGGAAAAAGGGAGCAGCTCTAAAGAGGAAAAAAATAAGCAATTCTAAAGAGGAAAAAGGAGGAGCTCTGGAAAGAAAAAAAAAAAAAGAGACAGCTAAAAGGGAAAAAGAGGTGCGCAAAGGGGGGAGCAAATTTACAACGTGAAAAAAGGGAAGCAGAGACGCACCTAGATTTGGTGGGCGAAGCCAATGCAAACACAAGCTATTAGAGAAGAAACCGAAACAAAATGCATAAGCGGGATGATTTTTTTTTTTATCATTTTATTTATAAAAATAATTAATTTAATTTTTTGATTTAATTTTATTGAATTTTTGAGAAAAAATGAATTAAGAACGAAATTAAAAATAATTTTTAAGAAAATAGGTGAAATTTTGAATTCGAATGGTGTTTTTGAAAGAAAATTTGAAAACAGGAAATTAAAACGCAAAAAAAAAAAAAAAAGTTTGACCACATAGAACGAACCGGTCAACAGCCCCAGCAAACCAGAACACGCCGTGTGGCAACCTCACTGACATCAGCACTACGCGGGAAGCTAAGGGAGCGATCCGCGTGCCCAGCGATCTGACGGTCCAGATCTCATCCTTCATACGTGAACGACCCAGATGCATTCCCTCTTTAAGTGCGATCAAATAGTTAGATTCAATCCAATCGTGCAGCTCAGATTCATTTTCCGAATAAGATAGATACAATAGACGAGAGAGAGCCACGTATCTTCGAATGGACGGCCCAGATCAACACAGGAGGAAAATTTAAACATCGCATTTTAGGGAATCTTAACCTTAGCCGCACCTATCCTTATCGGAGAAGAAGAACCAAATGCTAGAGAAGGAGACTGACAACCAGTCGCCGCCACACTAGAGCCACCGTCAATCACCAAAAAAGGTAAAAAAATTTCTTTCCCACTCGAAATTCAATTCCGAGTCTCTCTTTGGTCATATCGGAACAAAAGAGATGGTGGGTGAGTTAGAAACTGTGAGCAAAGCATAGCGGAGCCGCTGCGACCAAAACCCTAAACCCTCGCCGCGATCAAACATGATTCTTTGATCATTGTGTTCACCATCATTTTCTGTGTAAGTTAGCCAAAAAAGAACCCCCCAACCGTGAATGATAACTGGCGGAGCCGTCGAACCCAAAGATCTCCTGTAGGTAGGTTCGATTCTTTTATATTTTTGGCTAACCAAGGCTTCCTAACGTATTTTTTCGTAGAGATACATGTCAAATCGGCCAAGTTGAGGTGAACAGTCTCTATGGACGGTAGAGTCGATGCCGGAGCATAGCAGTAGCGTCGTGTCAAAACCCTAAAATTGTCTGGAAGGGTTTTGAATACCATTTTTAAATTTTTGAAGTATTTTTTGGTACATGACGAGTATTTTAATTTTCACAAAAAAAAATTAGAAAATTCAGGGCTTGTCAGGAGGCATAGTGGGTAGCACAGCGTTTAAAAATACCAATCCGAGTAAGGATTTCTCACCCTATTCTCTGTTACGATAAATTGAAAGTTAAAAATTAATAATTCTGTGTTTTGTAAAAATTAAAAAAATTCTAATAATAATTATATATGATTAATAGAGTCAGAACTAATCAGTGTACGATTGCTCTAGTTTACAGTTCATTTTCTCATATATTGCTTAAAATATTTAGTACTGAACTATGTGCATTAAATCGTTAGTTTGAACTGTGTCCTCGGTTATCTGGTTTATTTGCTTTTTCCTGCACTATTTATTTAGTTATTTAGTTACCTGGTTATCATAAACTATATTTCTTAGATGCCTTTTAGGTTAATCTGTAAATACGTAATGAGGCGTTGGTATGCAAATGGTGATTGTTAGGATGATGAGGATCTACATGTATGAAAACTTACTCGGTACCTTGAAAAATGGTAGACAGATTCGGTACATAGAGAACACTACTGTGGACATTATCTTAGTAGAACGGGGTTGAAAAGTCTCATACCAAAAAATTTTGGGAGATATGATTTACCCTCATACCGGACCGAGTATTAAGGTGATGGTATGTTTGGCGCCCATCATTGGACCTGGAGCGGCCGAGTTAATTGACAATCTAGATACTAAGTTCACGAGTAAGTGGATATTCCTATAAACTCCCAAGAGTCTCAGTAAATAAATTAAAAAGAAGAGTTACAGATCTTATGCATGAAATAAAAATGTCATCTGGTTACTTCTCTCCATAGGTTAATTTTAAAAAACTCATAAAGGTAAATATGGAATAAACATTTTAATGTTAAATGTATTTACTTAAATTAAGAGCTCCATTAGTTGTTTTGTGATTTTTACCAACCTTCGATTTTTCGCATCAGTGAGTAGTGTGATATCCTTATTGAGCTATTGTAGTTCACATTTTTATTAACTATTTTAGATAAAAAAAGACCAAGATTCAGATCTCGATCAGTAAGAAAGTTATGAGTAGTTCACTTTCTGGGCTCCCTTCAAGTGTTAGTGGAGGTTAAACTCTTAGGATATCTATTTATTTATTTTTTAATTATCGTTTGCCTTTTTTATAAACCAATGTAAAAGGAGCATTTTTATAACTCTATTGAGCATTCTAATTTATTGTGTAAAAAATGTAAACCATAACTTTATTGTTCGTTTTCGTATTTAGATAATAAATCACTTTCTTTTAGTTCGGGTATTTACATTAGTAAACGAGGAAAAGTTGAGGAAAATTAATCAAGTAATTTATTTTCATTTTATTCTTTTAGCTTTGAAATTGCATATTTTTTGGATGGAAATTTTCATGATTTTTTGACAAAACTAGAATGTTAGTATTTGTAATTTATTAAAAATTTATTTTCGATTATTACATGATTATATTTTCTTTAATTATAATTTATATTGCTCAATCTATCATGTCTGATTAATTCTCTTTCGTCGCAGTGATTGATGTGAGTTGAATCAAAAGTACGTTTGAAGTTTAATTTTTAGCTTTCATCTAGTTGCAATTTAACAATATTAAACTTAATTCGGTTGTGAGAATTGACCAACTCACGACTTGATTTATGATTTATGATTTCAGTAGCGGGAGTAAAATTTTATAAACTAGACAAATATTGTTAAATGTTAATTGCGATAATGAGAGTAATATAATCGAGTTGACGTTTAAAAATTAAAATATCATAAATTTAATTGAATTAAATTAATAATTATTATAAATGGTTAGTAGTTATTAATTGATAGATATAGAGAATAATGATAGGGAAATTAAAAGTACATTAAGATAATTTGAAGACTAAATTAAATGAATTACAAAATTAAAACTCAGAATATATTCAAAATTCAAGTGAAATCAATTGCCGTTTTGTTTTGTTGATAGTTTTCTTTATTTATTTTTTTTTTTATACAAGGAAAAACAAAGAAATATCATGTCCCATGGGTTTTAAACAGTTTGGGAGAGGAAACACCAATGATGTTCTCACCAAGAATGTACAGAAGCCCAAGGGGAGGTACAGTCCTCTACTAATTATAATTTTATTACTTGCATCATTTGGTACACTTTACATTTGTCAATTTCGTCCATCAATCTACATAAAAAATTCTAATTAATAAATTAATTTTGAACTAAATTTATTATAAATTTAAATAATAAGAATATTAAAATTATGATAAGAATGTATTTTGTTGAAATAAGTTCATTTCAATTTGATTACGTGGATCAATTTTTTTTTTTTTTGGGTCCATAATTGGTTCTATCCGATTCCAGACCGTTTTATCAAATCCAAATTTCGGGTCTAAACCAAAATTTCAACAAAAAAATAGTTTTATATATAAATTAAGTGTCTTATTTAATTAATCAATTCATTTTTATTGACAAATTAAATAATAAGAATGTGCTTCCATAAAATCTTAAACTTTCAATTCATTGACTAACCAAATTAGTATGCATAAATTAATATTAAATTACTTTTTTTAGATGGTTTAAACACAGGAAATGTCATAAATTTAATTTTTGTAATCATCATCATCAAAATCAAAATCTATACGGAGAATTAATTATTCCACACCATCTCACATAATCTCAAAACTAGAGTAAATTAAATCAGCAAGAATAATAAATCGAGACAACTCATCATAAATGGGAAATCTTCTCAAGAGAGATTTGCTTGGAACAAGCTTACGTGAGGACACATGAAACGCTTGTATTAAAAAAAAAAAATATATATATATATATATATATAAGAACTCCCTACTATGCCATGTTAATTGGGAAATCAATAATCTAAACTTAATTAGACAAAGACCATGTGAGCATCAAAGTAAAAACTAAATAAGTATATATATATAATAAGTTTATCATATTACTTGATAAATATATAACAATGATTTTAGCATCCAATGCAAAACACCTTGTAATTAAAATTATAAACCAAAATTTGTCTCAAATATGATCAACTAGTACAAGATCCTTCTTCGATTCCTCAAAGGCAGGAAAAAAAAAAAAAAAAAAAAAAAAAAAAAAAAGGGGGGGCATAATTGGAAAACACCCAAAAGCTTTTTTTGGTTGACCCCATATATATTCATTATGTAAGTAAATGTTTTGCTGAGCAGTAAATTGTGTTCGTGTTCAATCAAATTGCAACTGCAGTTCACATTTCAATAAAAAGAACAAATTCTTAGCATCGTGTTTTTTCCTGCCAACAAACTTCTAACTAAAGTTTCCTATTTGTTTGTAAAGTAAGGTGGGGAAAAGAGACAAAAAGAAAAGAAGATATCTGCAGGAGAGAGACCTTACTTTTACATCAGAAAATCACCCCTACAAATCTCAACCACTACATCCACAACAATCATCTTTTTACTCTTCAATGGTTAGTGAATCTTCTTCAGCTGCAAAATCACCCATCATTTTTGTTAATTAATTTTTATAAACTTAGTTACCGATGACTAAAAGCAAAAGCAAAAAAAAACAATTAGGCAATGTATTGTGTCTGATCTAGATGTAGGGTTTCAGTGAGGACTGTGTTCAATTCAATGCGTCTTAGAGCATTATGTTATCTTCAAACTTACTTAAACTTAGTTCTAGAAGGGATTACTTATCATCATAACTTATATTTTTGGTTTGCTGGAAGTTGACACTTTACTTTTTATCAACTAACTACTATACTAGATTATGTACTCCAAACTACTGGTTATATTGACCATTTTCTCCACCCACCAAAAAAACTTACCTAAACCAAAATTTAATCCACCACAAGAGCCTACTACTAGTGCCCAGATTATCTTTCAAACACTAATTACCCAGCAAAAGTTATTATTTGCTAGCTAAATTATCTTTCAAGCACTAAGGACCTGGAAAAAGTTCCCTCACTTGTCGGCTAGATTAACTTTTTGAAGTACCCCTAACAAGAAACAAAAATATATTTCCATAGCAAACAGAGGAAAAGGAATACCTGAGATGTCATCAGGTTGATCCTTCTGAGTGTTCTCCATGCACTTGAGAAGGTATTTGAAAGTCTCAATCTCACAAGGAATCGTGAGCCCGCCACTGTGATCAAACCCAAACTCCTCTTCAGCCTTTTCCAGCAAAACCTTGAATAAGGAGTGGCTAAGATAGCTAGTGGGAATGATAAACCTCCGCAACTCTGGCCCAACATAAACCGCCAGGTATCCTTTAGGGACATCGGGTGGCGGGTCAGGGCTTTGGCAGCTTTCCTCATCTGAATCACAACACTTGATATCTGATAGCCTTTTATTAATCACTGGTGAAATACCCCCAGGACTTCGGTGAGAACTGGGGCTGCTCGGCTTTGTGCCAAGTGTGACAGATTGCCATTTCTGGAGAATTTCCTTAAGCCGAACAATCTGCCTGATTCCAGTCAACTTTGTCCCACCATTTTCATCCATTGCTAAACGTTTAGTTCGGTTGAAAAAGGAAACCCAGGATTTAATTCAAAGTGTTCGACCCCAGATGTCTCATCAGATCTTCTTCCACTACATAAAAATGAATCTCTTACTTCATGCTTCCGTTGACAGTACAAACAAATGAGGCATGAACAAATAAAAGAGAGATTAACTACCATGATAATTCTAGTTAGGCACTCAAATGTGTCTGCTTATTCTATTGTCTTGTCAACAACCACTTTCGGTGGGGGGAAAGAGAACATTATAGTTTACCTTATAGTTCTCTGACATGTCCACAATTTTGGAGAGCTAAAAGCGGGTAATTAGGCAATAGATCTCTCAACAAAAATCTAATTGTGCATATAATTTCAGAAGCACCAAAATGAAATCCATGAATCTCACAGCAAAGAACATTAAAACAAGTCAAATATGAAGTTCCTGCTATTCAAGGAAGTTAGGTAGTTTTGTTGAACCATTGATCTATACAACATCAAAATCTGAAAGTACAACTAAATCAAATGATAAGGATGGATGGCTCGCGTATTCTATAATCTTCACTGAATTAAACACAAACTAAAAGCCAATTAATCCACTTAAAAAGATGTGCAAGAAAGTGCTTAACCGGAAGAGGAAAAAATTCATGTTTAGTTTAAGGAAATTTCAGGAGATCAACACCAGATTATAATATTCTTGTAAAAATGACAATTTTTCTTAATGCATACCCATGAACTTTAGCAGAAATGCTGGCCTGGCCAAAGCCTACCAACCAGCAGGACCAGTGGCTAAACTCTTAAATCACGCAAGCCTTCCAATTTAGGATAAAGACAAACAATAGATAAAAAGACAAAACCGTCTTTTTCAAATGAAAATTTATCACTTCCACGTCCAATCTGCAATTTCCACTAATAGCATCGTTCATTCTAATCAAATTTCTAAACCAAAATATCAAGTTATGAATGAAACTAATACTTCATAATCAAAAACATCCTCGTAGTTGAACTTAGATTTCTATTCTTTTCATCGAGATCTCCATATAATCAGAAGAGATGCAATTGATAATAAACCCAGAAACAAAGAAAAGAAAAACCCATTACACGTCTTTTAAATCCACATCAAAACCGTGTCCAGAAAACTTTGGCATTAATCATCATTCCACAGATTAATCAATAAAAATGGCATATACATATACGCAAAGGAAAATAAGACAGATATGTATATACATATGCAATGAATACCTGAAGAAGGATAAGTCAGCTGCGGAGGCAGAGAAGAAAAGCCATCAATAGAGCTCCAGAGATGAATGCAGGGGCGAGCTCTTTTCTCCAAGGAGAAAGAGAATTTCAAGAAAAAGAAAATCGAAACTAAAAAAGAAAAAAAAAAAAAAAGGAAAAAGGAAATTGTGCTCTTCAAAACAAATCTGAGAGGAAATTCGGGGTGATGAAAAAGTTGTCTGTTTTTGGTGCATACGCTCATTGATTGTCGCAGGATTTTTCTTGGCAAAACCGAATGTTTCGGACGACTCTGTTTTTTCTGTTTTCTAATCGTCTCTCTTCTGTAGCAAACCAAAATTATGGGGAAAGAAAACTATACAAATAATTCTTTTTTTATAAATAAAACTAAAATATAATAATACTGGCGAAAAAAATTGAGAAGGCTAGATAATAAAAGTGAAATAATAATAATAAAAAGATTATTACTAGTATTGGAAGAATAATTATTTTTTAATTAAAATATATTTTATTAATTAAATAATAATAAGAACATAATTTTTTTTAAAAAAAAAAAGTTTCACGCAGAATGTGTAAATTTTATAAAAAGAAAAGAAAAAATAATATTTTTATTAATAGAAACAATGCC